GTCTTTAATCCGGACTCATCGGGACTTTGGCGATTCCGGGTTAGGGATTTTTCCGGATTATAGATCATCAATTTAAATCTAGTAAGATGGCATGCAGAAATTATAAAATTAAAAATATGAAACCGTAATTTATGAAATAAAGAGCAATTATGATCTAAAGAGTATCAAAATTTACAAAAAAAAAAAAAAAAAAAAGCTTAATGTTTATTTTAAACATTTCTTTCAACATGCACATACATAAAGCATACATTACGCATAGTCAAAATTAGAAAACTGCAACCAGAAAACTATTTGATGTGTATTCGTGATATTTATAATGATGAGGAATTTGATTTAAATCATATCAAAGACAGAGTACATCGAGATGAAATACTACATTTAGTAAGGAATTATAAGCCGAACAAAATAAAAACATCTGCCCTGAAGATGAGGATAGTGCTGACAGATCAACTTCCAGTTCAATGCGCACCGCGACGTCCCCCCCCCTGCAGAGCAGCGTGAAATTGATAAATAGATTTCGGAATCGTTAGAGAAACAAAGGATATGCCTTTATCCATTTTTTGCAGCAATTCCACTTTTTGCTTGATTGACATCAAAACATGCTTTCGCTTTGTAGATCCTTTGGCAGCTCCAGAATCGGAAACTCTTTTTGACATAAGCGAAAGTTCAAGTTTACTTTTTATAAAATTGCTCTAAACAGTCTGCAAAAAGTAATAAGCCGGATGCAATTAGAAGATTAAGGAACAACGCAGTCTGCAACATTAACTGAAATAGATAATTAGATAATTTTAGCCTAGCTTATTCCGTCCGTTATACATTAAACGCGCATGCGTAAACATATTATGCGAGTGAGTAAACGCATATGCACATGCATAAAGGTATTATGCGCATGTGTAAACGCATGCGCAGAAAGTTTGTAGCTTTGAGGTCCGGATTATGGACGCCCGGATTAAAAACTTTTTACTGTGTAGCGCTGATTTTTTGTTGTTTGGCTTTTAAGTTAATTCTTTCATGTTTCTTTCCATATCTGAGAAATCTTCACCATCTGTTGGTTTTTGTAGTTTGCATGATTTCCTTGGTTTCATTTTCAGTTGATGGAAATCCTTTAACATTTTTGATGGCTTCTTCCCAGCACAGATGCCAGCAAGCATTCATTGTTGATGAATTCACATGTTCCCATGCAAGTTTAATCATTTCTATAGAGTGTCTTTTGTTAAATTTCTTTCAAAATGTCATTAGTGTGTCATATTTTGCTTCATCTAGTGCTTTATTAACAGAGATGCAATGTTTTTATGATTCCTTAATCCATTAACTGGATTAAAGAGGTGTTGTTTAGTGGAAAACCTCTGCATGCTCAGGTTTTGATGTTCCAAGAAATATTTGATTTTTTTTTTTTTAATAAATGAATTTTCAAATCACTCATTAAAGAGGACTATCGCCAATGCAGTCAATACTCTGCAACATACCGCATATAATTGAAATTCTTATATTGGGTAGATTAATTGGGGACAATTGAAATAATCCATATGCCCAAAATCATGTTCTGCAAGTCTGTCAGAATATGCCAAATTCGGCAACCAAGTGCATGTAATTGGGTACTTTTAACAACCAATGTCACTATTTTGATATGTGTTCTTTTTGCTGTATTTTATACTCCAGTAGGTTTTGTAGACCATGATATTTTTTGTTTTGAGTTCAATTTTTGGAAAAAACAGTTATAACAGTGTATACAGTAATTTATAACATAGTAATTTTATAATAATTATTAGTAATAGTAATTTTATAACAGCAAATATATAATATTATAAAATTTCTTCAGGAATATAATAATTTGCTGCAAAATTGCTAAAGGAGACAGTTTCTTTGAATCTGTAGTCTGATCATGAAGATCATCAGAGCAAAAGTAGTAAAAACTTGTTAGTAAGTAGGTGATTGATTTTGGGAGTAATAGTTAATTAAGATGAAGGTACTTATGTATGTGTAGACTCGCATACGTGCATAGTTGACGACTTTGATAATCATTTACAGTTTTTGATATTGTTACTTTCACTTTGTGTTTGTTTTCATCCTGCAAGTAATATTTCTTACTATACAATCTTTTGAAATATAATGATAGTAATAGGTGCAGAGTAAAAATGTTTCTAAAATTAAGCAACTTTTTCTTCATTCTAGATGATGCCTCATATGATGAAAACAGAAAGATGTTCTCACTTTATAAAGTGATAAAAAAATAAATGCTTGGACTTTATATAATGGGCTGCTGTGTTAATAATAGCTGAAATGTTATAAAATCCTCTCTTGATGCTCATAAGTTAAAGAAAAATGCTCACACATTAACCAATACCTTAGCTAAATTTTGGGATTGCTTGCACATGTTGATAATTGAAAACTGAGCATTTTTATTGCTAATTTGTATAGTAATCCTGTATGCACTGTTTATGCTCAGATTTGAGATGTATTTTCTAAACTTCGAATGGATTATTTATTTGATTTTATTGTAATGTGCATGGAGCAATGTTGCAGGTAATTTATATTTGAGTTAAATTTTTGAAGTACAGTCAAAAGTCGTTAACACCCATAATCCGGAATGATCTATAATCCGGACCTCAAAGCTGCAAACTTTCTGCGCATGCATCGCATGCGTGTAAGACCTTTACGGCTGCGAATATGCATGTGCGCATGCACATAATAGCGTTTAATGTACAACATGCGCGTTTAATGTATAACGGACGGTATAAGCTAAGCTAAAATTATCTACCAATGGTAAGTCAGCTTGCAGCCCACGTGACAACTGGTCACGCCCCTTCGCCATTAGCTCCTGCCCATCTGGACTCACACTTCGAACTTATTCTCTTTTCAGTGCCCAAAGAGCAAATATCTGATGACAGCCGGAACAAATCAAGCAGACTGCTTGATAATCTCGGCATAAGTGGAACTTGGAATTTGGAATAATTCAGTTAATGTTTCAGATTGCGTTGTTCCTTAATCTTCGAATTGGATCCGGCTGATTATTTTTTGCAGACTGTTAGAGCAACTTTATAAAAGTAAGCTTGAACTTTCGATTATGTCAAATAGAATTTCCGATATATGTTTACTAATATGTAAAGGATCTACAAAGCGAAAGTATGTTTCGAAATCCGAAATCTGTTTATCAATTTCACGCTGCTCTGCGGCGGGGGGGGGGGACGCCGCTGCGCGCAATGAATTGGAGTTGATCTTTCAGCACTATCCTAAACTTCAGGGCAGATGTTTTTATTTTATTTGGCTTATAATTCCTTACTAAATGTAGTATTTCATCTCGATGTACTCCGTCTTTGGTATGATTTAAATCAAGTTCCTCGTCATTATAATTCGCTTTCGATAGTGAAGAAAGTGACACAGAGGTTATTGAAAACGAAAAAATTTCGATTGACAAATTATTCGGTATTCTCGACACAGCAATTATAGGACTTGAACAGCGGAACTTTGTAAATAAACAAGAAATTATGTCTGTTTAATAGAATTAAAGAGAAAGTATTATCACATGAAACGAAGCAACTTAAACAATTTACATTGAAAGAAATGTTTAATAAAGTAAACAAATAAATATTAAGCTTTTTTTGTAAATTTTGATACCCTTTAGATCATAATTGTTCTTTATTTCGTAAATTACGGTTTCGTATTTTTAATTTTGTAATTTTTGCATGCTATCTTACCAGATTTAAACTGATGATCTATAATCCAGAAAAATCGATAATTCGGAATCGCCGAAGTCCCGACGAGTCCGGATTAACGACTTTTGACTGTAAATATAGTCAGAACTGTGAGGAAGAATGAGAGAGAAATTCCATCAGGTTTTCTAATAAAGAAATGAGAAACATATTTTTCAATTTTTGGTTTTCAGAAAGAAATGACGATTCTTTCTTATGCACCAAGGAAAAATAGAAGTGTTATCCTGCTATCAACTGTGCATAACAATAATAAAATTGATGAATTCACTGGAGTACTGAAAATGCCAGAGATTATTTCTTTTTAGAATCTAACTGAAGGAGCAGTAGATGTTGTCGATAAAATGACAGCAGTGTATTCTACAGCTAGAGTATCAAAACAGTGGCTTATGGTGATTTTTTTCCTCTATTTTAAATGGTGCAACAATTAATGCACGAATAATGTTACTTTCCACAAGAGAGCTACCAATTCAGTTTGGAAACATGTGTTCTTTTATCAAATCTTTAGGACTGAAGTTAGACACAAATCAACAGTGACAGAAAATCATGCTTGCTTTAAAACTAACAGAATATTGTAACATGGAACTAGCATCTAAAAAGAGGAAAAACATTTACAGAAGGTGTTCCGATTGCCCTAAAAACAAGGACAGAAAGACACAATTTCTGTGCAAGAAATATAACATTAGTATTTGTATGGAGCATATGAGCTCAATCTGTCAGAGATGTGCAGAATAATTATATGTAAGTTATTTCTTTAAAATATTCTAAAGTCCATTGCTTTTTATGTTATTCCACATTTATACTGATATTTGTATAATTAATGCAATTTAGAATGTGTTTATTGCTTTTGGGTATGGCATAATCAACATGCCTTCCCGAATTTGTAATTTTGGTATGTGTGCTGCTGGGTTTAAGAGGAAATTGTTCTTTTTAAGATAAACTTCAACACTGTCATCTGAGTGCAAATAATGATCTTAAAAATATATAGACACTCAGAAAGAAAAGAAAAGTATAAATCAGTTTTTGACATTTGTTGCTACAAAGGAGTCATGAACATAAGGTGGCTTTTACCAAGAGATGTTTATAGGCATTCTTATTCATTCTGTATTAAACTGTTCCCTTCTTTATATAAATATAATGTAATTTACAACAAATTGAAATGCTGTGAGGAACTGAAATAGTCTTTTTAAGTGCCTGTTTTTATGTTAATTTCTTTTATGTTTTTTGCATTTTTTCGTATTTTGTATAACTTTGAAGACTGCAAATTTAAATTATGTTATTTTTATTATGTAGCACAGAGGCTAGTAATATAAAATCAAATAAGGATGAAGGATTTTGTTTATTTCTTTCCAAAAAATTGGCTGATTATCTGGACAGGTAATTATGTTATTTGTAGCAATTTCATAAGATTAAAATAATGTAGTTTTTAATCCTGTTAAAATGAACAAATGTTTTCTAATCATAGAACTAAGATTTAATAAAAAAAAAGTTTGAAAAGGAATTTATTAGGTAGCGTTTATCTGAATATTTTCTTTTTTGAAATAATAGTCATTATTAATTGGTATACATACTCTTAGACATATCTGCCATTTCCGGAGTATTTTTGGCAGTTGTAAGAATAGAATTAAGTAATGCAGAGAAATGCAATGCAATTTTTTTCTTTGCAAAATAAATAATAATAAAAGATAACTACTAGTAATATATTTTTTTTTCAAATGGTCAGACACATGCTTTTTAAGTATTAGTTGGAAATGGCCAATCCCATTTGTTTAGATGTTGCCAAGAATGTTACCCTAGGTGCATCATACTAGGTAGACTGATGTTACACACTTGAGGACTGCAAGCAACTACAAACTTGTATGCTTTCTCTTAAACCTAGGCTGAATGTTATGGCAGATAGCACTGGTAACTACCATGCTGAACAGCAGGGCATAACAATAGTAAACCCTATTTAATTTAACTAAAAACCCCTTCTTTTGTTATATTTTTTGTTGTAATATTTAGTAAGGGTTTATAATCAAGTATTGTAATAAATGAAATTGCTGAATGGATAGAAGGAATTTAAGTATCACAATGTGAAGAGTAATTACTCTTTTTAAGTACTAAATAAATCATACAGGTAATTACCATATATGTAAACTGCATAACTGTTGCTATTAGTCACATCTATTCAATTTAGGCCTACATGCATTACACTGATTGCTTGTATTTCTGAAAACAGATAGGTAACAGTGTGATTAATTTTTGATTTTTTTGTGTAGTTAAATCTAGTGATTTAATATTTGAAAAGGTAGTTTTGATTTCGCTTTTCTAATCAGAATCATGATCTCATCAAATTTTCACCAACATTTTTACTTTTTAAATTTAATTCTAAAATGTAAGGAAGTGGTATTTTTGAGTAAATGTGGTAATTAAAAGATATTTGTAGTGTATAATAAATGGAATGTTAAATATTGATAAATTTTATTGCATATACAGTCAAAAGTCGTTAATTCGGACACCCATAATCCTTAATGATCTATAATCCGGACCTCAAAGCTACAAAACATTCTGCGCATGCGTCGCGTTGACGCATGCGCGTAAGACCTTTACCGCTGCTAATTTGAGTGTGCGCGTGCGCAAAATACGTTTACGAATGCGCGTTTAATGTATAACGGACGGGATAAGCTAAGCTAAAATTATCTAATTATCTATTTCAGTTAATGTTGCAGATTGCGTTGTTCCTTAATCTTCGAATTGGATCCGGATTATTATTTTTTGCAGACTGTTGAGCAATTTTATAAAAGTAAGCTTGAACTTTCGATTATGTCAAATAGAATTTCCGATATATATTTACTAATATGTAAAGGATATGCAAAGCGAAAGTATCTTTCGGAGTCCATTAAACAAAAAGTGGAATTGCTGCAAAAAATGGATAAAGTTTATCTAAACTTTGTTTATCTTTAACGCCGCGGCGGCGTGCATTGAATTGCAAGTTGATCTGTCAGCACTATCCTTATCTTAAGAGCAGATGTTTTTATTTTATTTGGCTTATAATTGCTTACTCAATGTAGTATTTCATCTCGTCTTTGATATGATTTAAATCAAATGCCTCGTCATTATAATTCGCTTCCGATAGCGAAGAAAAGTAACAGAGGTTATTGAAAACGAAAAAATTTCGATTGACAAATTAGTCGGTATTCTCGACACAGCAATTATAGGACTTGAACAGCGGAACTTTGTAACTGAACAAGAAATTATGTCTGTTTATAGAATTAAAGAGAAAGTATTATCACATAAAACGAAGCAACTTAAACAACTTACATTGAAAGAAATGTTTAATAAAGTAAACAAATAAATATTAAGATTTTTTTGTAAATTTTGATACCCTTTAGATCATAATTGTTCTTTATTTCGTAAATTACGGTTTCATATTTTTAATTTTATAATTTCTGCATGCCATTTTACCAGATTTAAACTGATGATCTATAATCCGGAATCGCCGAAGTCCCGACGAGTCCGGATTAACGACTTTTGACTGTATATGTATTCTTAGTAGCAAAAGTTGTCTTGAATTATATGGATATAAATTTAATAAGTTATATATGTTTTCTGGCTTCCTACAATTTCTTTTTTTATAGTCACATGAAAGAAGTAGAACCAAAGCCTTCAAATGAACTTCTGGAAAAAGATGGTATGATAGTATATGTACATTAAGTTTTATTCATTTTGTACTTATTCAAATTTAAAGTGCTGATTTTTTTAATTGGTTTTATAATCACTAATACATATTGTGAATGTAATCACACTTTCCATATTGAATTTGGTACCTTTCTGTCGGATTTGTAAAACATGTATAATTTGCTTATAGGTTCTAATCTTGCTGCTGATTGATTAATACTGTGAGGTACACATAAGATGTAAATAAGATATGTGAGATATACATAAGATATAAATAAAAATATTTGATACTTCTTTGTTAGCACCTGCTGAGAATGAATCGCCACCGAGATACCTCACCAAAATCTGGCTGCATGTTTTACCTCGCCATGTGATACCTCGCCATGTGATAGTATATTAGCACTGGCTGCATGCTGTTATAGCTCACCACGTAATCCTATATTAGAGCAGTGTTGCATTTTTGCTTTCGCCGCATATTCTTACATTATTCATATTTGATGCGGTTGTCAAATTCACATTGTGTATGTAAAAATATATTCGTTGCTCTTTTTGTGACTGTGAGATATACATAAGATATAAATAAAAATATTTGGTACTTCTTTGTTAGCACCTGCTGAGAATGAATCGCCACCGAGATACCTCACCAAAATCTGGCTGCATGTTTTTATACCTCGCCATGGGATAGTATATTTGCACTGGCTGCATGCTGTTATAGCTCACCACATAATCCTATATTAGAGCAGTGTTGCAGTTTTGCTTTCGCCGCATATTCTTACATATTCTTCATATTTGATGTGGTTGTCAAATTCACATTGTGTATTTAAAAATATATTCGTTGCTCTTTTTGTGACTATGACATTAACAATCTCTAATTAACCAAGTAATGAGGGGAATGCTATATCATTTTGTCAAGAAAGAGGTATTTTACCTGACAAACAAGTATGTGAAAATGGACACAACATGAAACTTTATGTTAATGGTGGAACCATTTGGAGGTGCAGCATTGAAAATTCCAAAAAGAAGAAAGACCTTCATGCTAGAAATTGGTTCAATGGTTCCAGAATATTGTCTGTGACTGCAATTAGATTATGCATTCTTGGGCGGACGAGTTGTCCATGAAATGTTGCAACAAACAGCTTAATATGTGTGAAGGTATATCATGCGGTTGACAAATACATGTGATAAAATAATAATAATAAGGATAAGGATTAAGGATTCTTAAAATATTCTTAGGAAATGATTTATGAGTATTGCTATTATTATTAAATATTGAGTTATTTATTTTTCTATTGGTATTTCGTCAGCGGTTGCAACCGAAAACGTCGCGGAGAAAACAACGCAAGGCAAAAACGTCGTGCTACAAAACATCGTGGGAGAAAACATCGCAGTTCTAAAACATCGTGGTACAAAACATCGTCGTCGAAAATACCGTGGTAAAAAATAAAGTATCTACAAATCATCGCATGACGATAACATCGCAGACATGCTTCTTTCAGGCTTTAATAACTGTAAATGGATATTCCCATATTGATTTGTGATCGCAAGATGGAAAGAAGGATAATTTTTACTTTCATACTTTTTATTAACTAATAAATTTTTGCTGAGAAAATAAGAATGAAACTTAAGTATAGAAAATTAATGCAACTTATAGCACTTAATAGAATTTTTAAACCGACATAGTTAACTAACAAAGGCCATTAATAAATCATTTTTATAAGTTTTTTACTGGTAATTTTTTCATGAAAAGTATCTAATATCTATAATTTGCATTTTAATCTTTTATGCTTAAGTTTCCTTTATACTTTTTCAGCAAACATATATTAGTTAATAAAATATGTGAAAATAAAAATTATCCTTCTTTACATACTGCGCTCACAAATCATTATGGGAATATCCATTTACAATAATTAAAACCTGAAAAAAGCATGTCTGCGATCGTCAAGCGTTATCGTCATGCGATGATTTGTTGTTACTTTATTTTTTACCACGATATTTTCGATGACGATGTTTTTAAACTGCGAAGTTTTTGAACCGCTTTATTTTCGACGACGATGTTTTGTAGCACAATGTTTTAGAACTGCGATGTTTTCTCTTTGCAATGTTTTCTCCCACGATGTTTTGTAGCACGACGTTTTCGCCTTGCGTTGTTTTCTCCGCGACGTTTTCGTCCGCGATGTTTTTGCCGCGATGTTATCGGCGGACACCTTCGTGAGCTCGGCAAAATAATAGCTGAGATCTTGGAACAAATCTAAAATCGGCAAATATGGTTGGAGACTGCTATAAGAAAGAAGTATAAATTATTTTGATATTTTTAGTGCACAGTTCAGTTGTTCCTCAGATAATAGTAGTTTTATAGTTCCTTGTTTATACTTTTTCATATGTATTTAAATATTTTTTTTTTTAACCTAATGAACTGTCTGACATTTTGGCTTTTTTTCTTGGATGTAGAATTCTTTCTTTCTTTCTTTCTTTTTTTTTTTTTTTTTTACTATATTATTATTACTTAATTAGTGTCCTTTTCTGTAATGTGTTTCTCTGATTTACATTGCTGACCATTAAAACTGTAACACCAACAAGATTGAAAGATAACACATCTAAATTTATTTTACAGATTTTGTACAATATAAAGTTATCATTAAAATTTTATGTGCATAGGACGAATGCAAGGGTACCTCGGTACTGAAAGTTATTACCATATGAAACATTAAGCATGTTTTAGCAGAAATTATGCTGTGGATGACATTTTGAGATTCTATAGTACAAGTAGCTGTAATTTGTTATCAGAGTTAATTTTTGTAGCTGTAGGTGATCTTTGCTTATGTGTGGGGCAACACAGGTCGAACAGAATCAAGACAAAGTAGAATGTGCTGTGTGTTTAGGAAGTGTCAGGCATTGATGGTGATGTGTAATTATATGTTGTCTTTTTTGAAAGGGGCTGTAGGATGCTTCTCTATGTTTAACCACAAGACTCAATCAGTAATGAACTATGAAACGTTTAACAAGGGACTTTCAATTTATCCTATAAAAACAAAATATCAAATTCTAACAAAATGATCGACTTAAAATACAGGGTGCCTCGAAAATGCAGCAACAAACGTTTAGGGGAGGTAGGGCACATCATAAGGATTGAGAATTGCATAGCAACCTATGACCAGACGTGTCAAGAGTAACTGGCAGCAGAGGTAGAAGATTGGAAAAAAAAAAAAAAAAAAAAAAAAAAAAAAAAAAAACAAGAGTGATTAATTTGAAACATTTATTGGACATCATGTATACAAATTGTATACGATATGACTACAGCTCTAATGTTACAGCAGAGGCTCATAGTTTTGCACCATCAAATGCTGAGCATGCTTGGCACCGGAACATTGATTGCCGGACGCAGTTGAACACACGAGTCTTACCACGAGATCTATTTCAGACTCCACAAAATCAGGATACTTGATAGCTATAAAGGCTTCCCGTAGAAAGAAATCAAGGCTCGATAAATCAAGTGAGCATGGGAGCCAGGGAACTGGTCCACCACATTAAACCCATCCATGTGTGAATGGCCTGTTCAGATTCCTATGAACAGCCAGTCAAAATGAGCAGGTGTCCCATCATGTTGGAAGCACATTTTGCTGCTTACATTTACTGGAACATCATCAAATAAGCTGGGAAGAACCTGCTTCAAAAAAATCTGTTATCATACGTGGCGGTCATGCAGGATGGTAAAAGTTACAACCTGACTAAGCAGTTGCCAACAAAAACCTGCCTACACATTTACTGGGATGCAGTAATGTGTAGGATGGTGACACACACCATCGGGGATCTGTTGAGCCCACAAATGCACATTGTGCTGATTGAATATGTCATCCCCATTGAATGTGGCTTCAGCAGTGAACAACACATAAGCTGGGAAATACACATCTCGTTCAATTTGTTGCAAATACCACTGTCTGCAAAACATACACATCCAGGGTGATAATCTGGGAGCAGTAACTGAACCGTTTGGAGATGAAAGGTGTGTAAGGAGCTGAAGTTCAAAACATGCTGTACACTGTAAGGAGATACCCTTAAGGCTGAGGAATTGCACATATGTTGGTACTGGAATTAGTCTCTATGACATCCAACACACTTTCTTCCATAACAATCAAAAGTAATGATCATGTCCTGCCCTCAGTTCTGCTACTTCCTAATGACCTGTACTTGCACAAGTTTCGATGCACATTTGCAAATTCACTGCGGTGCATTTGTCTGTCTGGAAATCATTTTTGATAAATTCATTCAGGGGTTCATCCATTGCCCTCACGCTAAGTGCATGTCTGCAAGCTCACTGTTTGTATTCTGTTGCATGCTCTTTGTATGTTGGCTACTGCTCAAATGAGGAATTCGTCACTTTCTCTTTCAGCACTCTTGTGCACAGCACCACCTAACAGCATACAATGGCATTCTCAGTCATGGATTGTTATGCAATTCTCAATCCTTATGATGTGCTTAACCTTCCCTAAAAGTTTGTTGCTACATTTTTTAGGCATTCTGTGTATATATATGTTGAATGATCTAAAATTCACTAAGTTCGAAAACAAGGTTTTCATTTAAATTCAAGTTTCCGTCAAATGTTTTTTTCATAATTTACATTAATTTTCATAATCAACTTTGGCATTATTGGTGAGCAATATCAAAGTTGAAAATGCTGAATTTGTGCAACTCTCTGAATTTTTGAAGTAGATCACTGTTTATATGGGGAGAACAATAGTGCAAAAAAGGTGTCTTATTATTGTTAGTCCAAAGGGGCTTTTTCTCTGAGGGACTATTGTTTTTGTTTTGCGATTTTGTGTTGAATCACTCTGAATGTCTGTTTCACTTTCAAACTGTTGCCAACAAATATTATCGCCCTGTATTATATTTGAAGAAATTAAATAATGAAGAATCTGTATATATGTATGTATGTTTCTCACATTGTGACATTGTGATAAAACAATGGTACCTAGAGCCATCCAATTTTGAACAACGTAATTGTACTGCAAATATGGGCATCTCGAATTCGAAATTTGGAATTTGTTTTATTGATTTCATATTTTGTAAAAGTCTAACGAATTTTTGATTACCAAACTCAAGGATTTCAAAGCGAGCTATGGGAACATTGTACAGAAAAAAACATTTTATCTCCAGCATGTGAGACTGTGTATTGGAAATTCTAAACATATGCTCAATTTAAAATTATTTTGCGATATTGCTCTCGAACTGAATTTTATGTTTTAAGTTCAAAGAACATGAGATTTAATAAATAAAAGTAACACACAAAATGTTTAAAAAACGCCCCTTTGGTCGTAGTTTAAAATCTGAAACCTTTCAGATCTTGACTATCTTGATTTTGTGTAAATTAAAAAAGTCTTACAGGATGCTTAACTAAAAAACAGAGGTTGCTTTCCTTTCATATATTATTTGCATTGTACTTGTAAGTTTAAAAAATAAATTCATTTGAAATTGAGGGAACAATTTTGTCTTTTAAGCTGTTCGATAAAATTCATGTGGAAAGTTTTGTAAATATTAGTATCATGATAAAATTATGGTGAAAACTAAAATTTATATTATTATCTCTAGTTTCAGAAGATTTTCACCTTTTCTCTAATTCAAATATCCAAGTTCAAGGTGCATGCAACTCTGTGTCAGTAAATTCTCAGCCAAGAAAAAAGAAAAAGAAAGACAAGTAGTGTATATTTATTACATTTTGAAGCATACTTGCTTTCTATATGTAGAATATTAAAAAAGTACATAAAATGTGACTATAAACCTTTATTAAGGCTTAAACCATATTTTATGCTAAGCATTTAATTCTGATTACCAAGTATCCTGAAATAAAAGTAGACTATTATGAAAACAGCATTGGCAGTCCCTGAAAACAGTCCATTTGGAGTTTGACATGAAAACAGTCCACTTGAGAGATCTGCAAATATAAAAGCGAGACATTTTATATGTACTGTTTAAAGTGAAAATTTCAACTGATAGAATATTATTTATGTGTTATTAACTTATTAAGTTAGATGTAAAAATATTCTATCCTATATGTTTGTTTGCTAAGTTTGAGAGGATATTTGAGTCTCTTAGATTTATTGGCTTGAGTCGATTTTCAGTTTTTGTTACTAACCCACATTAATTTTTTTTTTTTTTTTTTTTTAAATTTAAGGTAAAATTGCTTCAAAAAAATTATGTCCTCTGCAGTTTGTGGTTTCGTGTTGTGTAAAGTAATACTAATTATGATATTTAAAATATTTATTACTAATATCTGCCAATTCCTCTTCTTGTTGTATGGAAGTTTTTGTATTCAGCTTATTAAACAAGAGCATGTATATTACGTATTGGAATATCTGTACTACTCTATTTAAAAAGCTAGACTTCATACTTACAGAACCCTAATACCTACAGTTCTGTTTTCACAAAATTCTCTTATTTCTATGAACTGATTTGTATACTGATTCCAAATATATACACTTCTGGCTATTCAAAATGCAACACCATAAAGGAAACATCAATCAAGCTTTAAATTTACAGCATGGCTTACAGCAGCACCTTGATAGGATATGCAGATGGTTTAGTTTAGTCCATCTGATTACAACAAAGCACCTGAGAGGATAGATGCTTTTGTGGAAGACTTTCTAAGGGAAACTGGCTTGTATCCATGCCACTCATGAGAAAAAACCACAGAAATGGCCAATGCAGCCAGCCCATTTCCCTGGGATTGAGCTCAGGTTGAACGACCAATGTTCTACAACTTTCAACCACTGGTGGTCTTGCAGATATGCAAATGATTAGTTTTGCAGTGCATATGCAAATCATGTGAACCAGTAATGCCATCTAGAAGTGCTTAAAAAAATAGATAATGCTGTGCAGCTTTAAGTGCTGGAATTGTGTATTTCTCACCATTTCTGAATTTGACAAAGAAATAATTCTCTCTTACAGAGACAGTGCTCCCATTGAATGAAAGCCAGCCATGGTAATGGGAATGTGGAACCACTGGGTGCAGGAAGAATGATATTATCAATGGGAGCAATTTCATCAGCTTTGATGCAGCACCAAATAAAAGAATAGGAATGTTGTATGTAAGGCAGTAATACATCGCACAACAACTTCAAGCACCCTAGTGCAAGAATTAGTGTCTGTTGATAAACAGTTTGTGACTGCACATATCATTCAAATTTCTCTGTAGAGAAAAGGCACATTTGCATTGTGTCCATTGTTTCAATTACTGTTGAGTCTACACAACATGTGTATGCAAATGCATTGGTGAATTGAATGCTAGGCGCAGGCAAATGAATGGCATGACACTGTACTTTCAGAGGAATTTCAGTTTCCACAGCATAGTGGTTGTATCAGTGTCTGGTAATAAGTACCTTGGTGACAGATATCATAATATATCCTTTCATCGCCATACCCATCCATCACCTAGAATTGTAGTTTGTGGCATACTCAGTATCTATTGCAACATCTTTGAAGTCCTGGAGCATGTTGTCTGCAACCAAATTATGTGCAACACATAGTTGTAGAGTGTTTAATAATTTTTAATATTCAACAATTTTTCATTCTCCCTCTCACTCTGCTATCACAGCCTGCTTATTTTCCCATAATGTTGCCGATTGGAAATGTCTGATTGATGATTGGCAGAAGAGTGGCCCAACATACGTTATGAACAGCTATGACAGATAAATTTTGGTAGTAATCTTGCATTAAATTGCATCGCATTTCTCCTAAATTGCATCGTGTTTCTTATTTGTCCAACCCTCTTGCAAAGTCCCATATCATTGGTGACTAATTTTTCAGCAACCTAACATGTGAAAAACAGTAGCTATTTAAAAAAATAGCACCATGCTGAAAATTATATAAAACAATTAATTGATGAAATTAAAGACACAAGAAACATCCGTAATGAAGCAATAAATATTACATAAATCAAACATCAGTAACAAAAGTACTCAAGATTTCATAAAACAACAACAAATTAACTGAATTAAAAATGGAACAAAAATCCATAATAAAACATTTAGCTATCTTTTTTCCTGGTCTTCTGTTCATTTACACAGCAGTTTGTTTTAACTTAATTAAAAAAAAGGAAATTTTTTATTTAAATTAATTAAAATTAAAATTTTAATTTTAATTAAAATTTTAATTAATAATTAATTAAATTAATAATTGTTTAAAATTTTAATTTAAAAAAAGGAAAAAAATCAGTGAGTTGCAGAATTTTTAGCATAGCAATGCAAACTGGCACGGCTTTCCTTGTACATATCAACTTATTTTAACTTAAAAAAGCATTAGAGAATTGCTTAAATTAATTTCATGGAACATGCGTTACTCTTCTCTCTACTACTAGGAAAGACACTATATTTCTGAAAAAACACATGTTGTAGAGACATTAGGTTATTTTAAAGCAGAAGACATAAAAAATGTGCAATGGCCCCACTGGGACTTGAACCACGGACCTCTCGAATATGCATCGAGCGTGCTGACCATTACACTGTGAGGGCATGCTAAGAAGATGGGAGAAATACCTAATATACTCTGCCTTTTAAAGGGCAACTGGGGATTAGGGGACCCAATCACCAAATCCTAATGGTGGAGAATCATTATCCACCACCTTTTTAGTTTGGGTGCCATTGTAGAGACATCAGGTTATTTTGAAGCAAGAAGACATGAAAAATATGCAGTGCCTCTCGAATACGTGCCCAACCTGCTGACCATTGCACTACGAAGACGTGCTAAGAAGGAGGGAGAAATACCTTATAACATAAACTCCACAGTGCCATTATGATTCATTACAAGAAAGAGAAGTCCACACACTAAATCCCAACAAATAGAAATCATAAGCATGACCTATGAATTTCAGAACTGTGTGCATAAACACCACCACATAAATAGATGGTAACATTACACACTGGCATAATGTGCACACAGCCATTAGTACATTTTCATAAAATTCTGGGTTGCCTACATTGGCGGCATAATGCTTTGCCCATTGATTCTTGTGAGGTTTGGGTGGATAATGCTAATAAAGGACCACTTTAGTAGTGTGTAGAAATGGAATAGGCGGGCATACCTAACCATGCATTCAAAATCTCTTTCTCTCTATACTGAGACATGTCACAGCAGTTTTAAGTTGGTTGAAGCTGTAATTTTTTATCTATACACCCTTGTGCCTCATATTATTTGTCTAGTAAATATGGCTGAGATATCTCCTGTTCTTCATTGTGTTGCATTTTGGTTGCCGAAAATGTATATATGATTAATGTGTTTTATTAAAATTATTATTTAATGCCTCCTATAAGTAGATTTTTTTCAACCCATATCTTATAGCTCAAGGAAGGCTAAAATGATTAGATAATGTGAACAATTTCTTAACTATAATCTTGCAAAATCAGTGTATATTCATATGTCAAAATTGAATGCTAAGTGTGAATTTACACTCCCAAATCTATATTAGCTTATTTAATTTTATTGGCGTGTTCACAGATGAATTAAACAGGATATGTGTGAAAGGTTTAGTAAAGCTAAATAAGCTAATATGTTTAAGATATGACTATGACATTTATACTAAGGGCAATTAATGATCAGCAAGATTTATATGTAAGTACAGTAGATGCCAGTGAATGTGATTAAGGTTAATATTATCATTCTGATAATGTTACTGAATTGCTGAAGTCCCACCCATTTGTATATAAAAGCATGAAAAATACTTCACTTATTGTGATCATCAGTTCAGTTAATATAAGCAGCGAAATATTATAGAGTAAATTTTTTAAATGAAAGGTTGCCAAACAGCTTGATTTCAATTTCAGTCATTTAAATTTAGAAAAAAAAAAAAAAAAAAAAAACAAAAAAAAAAAAACACGCTTAGTTTGACATAGATTTTTAATAACACTTTTGATTTTGAGGTGATCAGACACAGGTCCCTCTTTTTCAGAAGCAAACATCAAAGCAACCTTCTTTTTCTTGAAAAACAAATATTCTCTGAAAATATCTGTAACAAATTAAGGTGGTGTTTTGCTTAATTTAAAATTTTATATTGGCATGCTCTTTACCAAAGAGAGATGCCTCCAATTATTGAGATTAGGGGTACAGCATCGGTCAAATAATTTCCAGAAATGTTATGAGCAATTCACAAGTGAATATTTGCGTTAAAGACATTATGAAGAGTTCATAAACAGACTTTTTCACTTTCTTAATTATAATGATGTGAAAATACCTATTTATATTTTCTTAGATATGTTGAATTAGTTAAATTCAATTGTTATTTTGAAGGATATTTTATCCCAGCATTTAATATTATCATTCAGTTAAGAATACAGGAACACATTTCCAATTACTGACATTGGTTGGATGGAATCAGATGAAAGTTTTTATAATTATTTTAATAATTCTTCATTTACATAACGAGTTGAGTTTAAGAAAAATAATGTGAGAGTAAAATTATATTCATGAGTATGTTGCAGGCTGCTTTGAATAAAATTTAAAATTGAATTTTGAGAATCTTTAAGTAGGATCATTAGAAGAAAAAATCTTTCAAAAAAGAGCAAAAGCCTCTTGGAGCAGAATATTTCCATTTATTATTAACTAATACAAATCCACATCATCATAATTTATAACTGAAAGTGAAGCTGGATTATATTTCAGTGTTCATGTGCAAAAGAGAAATTACAACTGTATAGTAAACATATTGAATCTACAGCTTCTCATATTGTTTCTTGCCTTCATATAAGAAATTTGATGCCGTACTCAATTTGAACTGAAACTGTAGTGAAGAAATTAATGAAGCACTTCCAAAAGGAGAATATACATAACAGAAAGAGTATACTGCCAAAATGCTCTAAAAATGACAATCTCATTAACTGCACAAAATACAATCTGTCATAATATTGTGAAGACATCGGTTTTGTCATACAACTGTGTACATTATATTAAGCTCAACTATATTTTAAAAATTATCTCATTCCCTCATGTGCTCTTTGGAGATATAAGTGGCATGCATATTCTGTTAGCAGCTAGAAGATTCTTGGTTCAAACCCCATTGAGAGCAGAGCTGAATTTTCATGTTTCCTACTTGCAAAAACTAATAGTCTTCGCAATATATTATATAAATATGGCACAGTTAATATTTATGTTTATTGTGTTTTCATAAAATATCTATAATGTAATGCTTGGTTTAAACAATTTGAACTTAAGAGTAATTAGTGCCCTCCAAATATTGAGAAAATATCATGGATTACAGATTAAAATTCATTGGAAAAAGCTGAAATGTGTAGTAAACTGTGACATAAAAAAATTGAGGTCATTTTAATTAATTTTATACATATGTGTACATATCTTGAATTGTAAATGTTGTTCAGTTAAAAAATATTGTATTCCACAATATTGTAGCTGAAAGTTAAAGGTGTTGCATATGGACTTCATTTTCTGATAGAGGAGCCAATTCATAGCTTTGATTTATTCCTAAATCCAAAAATAAATATATCTGGAAAATCACCAGATTATAATTGTTGTACTTAGAAGAGTTTTTGGATTAGAAATATTTATAACCCCAATCACATTTAAAATGTGGAAGTGGTAACATTATTTGTAAGTTGCTCATGAAATGAACATTTTCATTAACACTGTAACAGTGTAAACTGGAACAATTTGTTGTACTATTAAAAAAAAAAAAAAAATCTGTCTGTGAAGCCAAGAAAATAATTTTGTCTCGATTCAATTTTTCGGAAACTGTCTTTCTCGGCATAGTAATTTGAAGATAGTGTCCAAGTGTCATGTACTTTGTACCTGCTGGCACACTTTCACAGAGGCTTATAGGTTTGTATAATGTCAAATGAGAAATTAAATTCAAATGTAAGACTTAAAATCTCACTTTAAAAATAAAAAAAAAAAAAAAATTACGAATGAAGGTACTTTTTATACCTTTCTTGGTATAGGTATCTAATTTGATTTAAAATAATAACAATTAAAAAAAGAGAATTGTTTTTTTAAAATAAGCTTATCTAAGTCCATAATGATACTGCTTTACATTGTAGTTCAAGAATTAAAAGAGGCTTAATATTCTCTTAGAACTATTAAGGTAATTTATTCTGTTTTTTGATTAAATAACATCTCCCTCTCATTTTTTAATATTGAAACATACATATAATTAGCTCTCAAATGTCATAGTTTTTAGCCTGTAATTTTTGAGGAACTTCACAGTGATATTTTGCATTTTCACAAAAAAACATACACACACACACACACAAATAAATAAATAAAATTTTTAGATATGTCATCAAAACAGTATAACTAACCATTTAATCAGGTAGCAGAAAAGTTTGTCTTTGATGTAGTAAAATAAACAAATAATATAGTTAAAATATAATATATAAACATATATATTTTTGAGATACTCAAATACTCCATTTATTATAATTACAATCTTAAATATATTGTCTGCATTGATAAAAATCGTCAACGTGGTCTTTTATATGTGGGGCTTTTATATGTATTTGTCGCATGGCCAGTCCTCACAGTGGAGTTTCATTTGTTATGTAGGCTTTTGTTAAGGAGCCTATATCAAATCACATGGAGTATTATGTGTTGCTTCACAAATTTACCCCATGAAAAAATTTTTAATTTTTTATTATTCATAAGACTGTGGTATTTTACTATGCTTACATTTCACATACGTAATTTGAAGAAATAAAATTCATGTATTTATTAACCCTCCTCCAAGGTAAAATTCTGAACAGAAATGTGACTCTGTAGTTCGTTACACAAAAAACATTCTACAAACCCATGTTGGATCTGATTTTGGGTTAGATGTATGTTAGAAGAAAAGAAATGAAGATATAAAGTGAGAGAGACATTTCAGAGCCGAGCTCTTAATGCCTAAAGGGTTAAACTTTTCTATTTTTATCTCTGTAGATGTAAGAGAAATAAAAAATCTATATTTGGTTGCAATAAAAATATATTTGAGCATTCCAAGGATCTGGGGAAAGTCTCGTATTATATACGATTTTAAAAATATGACTTTTTATCAAAAAGGGATGGTGGTAGCCCAGAAGGGCTGTTATTCTCGTAAAGGCATTTGTGCAGTTTCACTATAAACGCGAATCACTTTCTAAATTGTTGCCAGCAAATATTATTATATTATATTTAAAGAAATTAAATAATGAAGGAACTGCATGAATGTATGTATGTTTCTTGCATTGTGAAAAAATGTTATCACCTATAGAGCCATCAAATTTGGAATTCTGTAATCCTGCACCCAAAAATGGGCACCTGGATGCCCACATTTTTAATTTCAAATTTCTTTTATTATATATTTCATATTTTGTGAAAGTTTAAAGAATTTTTGATTAACAATCTCAAGGATTCCAAAGCAAGCAATGGTAATACTATACGTGAAAGACATTTTTATCTCCAATGGGCGAGACTGTCCGTTGGAAATTCTAAAGGTATGTTGTTTTTAAATATTTCATGATATTGCTGTTGAATTGAATTTTATGTGGTCTAAGTGCGAAGAATATGATATTTAATAAAGGAAGGTAACATTCAAAACGTTAAAAAAAGATCCTTTGGGTCTAATATAAAATCTGAAAGCTTTCAGATTCTTTTTTATCAGTTTCTTATGAATGTTGTTATGCAGTAGATATTAAAAGAATGATTGTTCAGTGATTAAACGTATTTATATTTTAGATGTTGAAGATTTGAATATTTATTTTGTTTTAGGTTTGAGAGGGATCTGTTGAACCAAGTAGCCGTAACAGCTGACTGGGTACAAAAGCAAGCAAAGCTATATACGACATAGTTTTCTATAACTATTGTATTTTCTTATGTATATATGTAAGGTATATTCATAAATATGTGTTTATATAAAAGACAATGTTCTTTATTTTTTAAATTGATTGTAATGATGAAACTTAGTTGAAAGTAAATTTCATGATTTAATTATCATTCTGCAGAATGTTAGAAATTAAAGGCATTGCTCTCGTGTGCTTTCATGGCATAATGACTTAAAAATGACTTAAAAAGTGTGATAATTTGTAAGCATTTCTGCCATATACTGTTTTGATGGCAAGGATTAACATATCATTTTAGTACAGCAAAGGTCACAAGTTCACTTCTAGGTTAGGGCACAAATTATTTTCAAGTAATTCTCAGTCTTGAACTCCTTCTAAATTAGTGATAGAATCCTATAATAATTTGTACAACAGGACAAAACCTGTGTAGTATTTTAATTGTAAATATATATATATATATATATATATATATGTTATTATGAATAATTGTAATATATATATTGTACACTGGAACAAAACCTGTGCAATATTTTAATTGTTCAAAGAAGAGACAAATGCAGGGCTGCTTTCTGTATTTAACTAATTATTCATAATCCTACAAAGATGAAAGAACTGATTTATTTTGTGCAATACCATTTATACCATTAATAATGTTCTGTGCGTGCAGGTTCGCAATATATTGAATGCACACAGTTCCGATGATAGGTTGATGAAATTTAGTTCTATAAAAAGAAACACTTCAGAGACCTGGAACTTTCCACAGAAATAGTCGTACAACTCTTCACAATATCACAAAATACAATCAGTAGTTACGCATCAAAATACTATGAACGTTAAGCACAACGCAGTGCAAAGTGCATCTAAAGAGCGAAGCTAAACTGGAGATAGTACTTGGAACCCACGCTAAGTTAACAGCTGACAACAGCAACTGAGAGTTGATGCTCTCACCAGCCTTACATGGTTTTCACCCGGTCGCCGAGATATTTCTAGTACTTCTCGAAAATACTGGTAGGCAATATGAGGGTTGAATTATAGCTAATATAATGATCAATTACATTTATTCAATTACAATACCTACAAAGGTGATACAGGGACCGGGAAGGTGATACAGGGAAGTGTCGCCAAGTTCAGGGACAAAAATTGGTCCCCAAAACCTTTGCCAGCTTGCCGATATCCCGCCAAATTACCGAGATACCCATTTACTCAATGTTAAACGGATTTGCCCCTCTATTCTTAGTTTTCCGGCATAGCTTGTCTCTCGATTTTTCATGTTACATTATACAAGAAATACAACAATTTCATGTACAATTCCACTAACATCATCTATCTTTGTACAAAATTCGTAACATTACACCCTTCCCAAGCCCGGCAGGACACAGGCAGTTCAATCCCTGGACAGGAAACATACCTACAGTGAATGGAAATCAAGGCAATACTTAGACAATAATGTTGCGTGTGTACGGATTCGTAATAAATTTAATGCACAAGTCCAATAAAAAGTTAATAAAATTCATTCTAATCACAAGAAATATAACAAAACGCTGGATTATTCCTTTAAAGATATTCGTACAATATCTCAGTATCACGCAACATAAATAGTAGTTATATTTTAAACTACTAAAATGTTAAATAGAACGCAATCCAAAGTGCAGAGAAAGTTAATCCGAACCCAAAATTACAGCAGCTAAGTAAACAACAAGAACTGAACTGAGATGTTTTTCTCCGGCTTTTATAGCTTTTTGATTCGGCCATGCGAGATAATTTTAGCAATTTCTGGAAAGTGAAAGAGTAGAATTACGAGATATCTATTTATTAAATTTTAAATGCGTGTTACTTTTACGGCGTAGCTTTCTCTTAAAATAAGTCTTGTGCTCCATTGCACGGGGAAATAAAACAGTTTTCATTACAGTTCTACTAAAAATAACTAACTAAATACAAAATCCGTAACAATAATTTCAGTAAATAATATAAAATAAATCAAATACTAAATCAATAAATGGGTGCACAAATTTCAAATTTAGAAACAAATATTACCATGGTCTTATACTATTTACATTATATACACTATGGAGACTACGTACAGTGGTGGCCAAAATTGTGGACACTTTTGGAAATTTTTATGTTTTTGAATTTTGTATGCTTATAGAAAATGGTACGTTTCGCAAAATGCAAACTTGTATATATCATTTTAAAGAGAATTTATTACTGAATTCAATACAAAACACAAAATTCAATTATTTGCAATACAAAAAGAAGTTATATGTACTTTAATATAAATAAAAAACACAATTATGAAGTGGTTTGTAATGTCTAGCTTTCCTGGCCAATCACTGTTCTTGTTCTGAGAACCAATCAAATGTTAGTAACTGCCAGTAGAAGCTGACATCATGTTTACACTTAAAACAATTCATTATTTTGCTTTGTTCTGTAGAAGAAGAACCTGTTTCTTATACACTGCAATTACAAGTAGGAATTTTTGTAAAAATTTTTAATATTTAATCAAGTAGCAATGACATCAAATAAAAGAGTAGATTGGACACCTAGAAAGAGGTGTAATATTGTGTTACGAGAAAGTGGTCTTTCCTATGCTGAAATTGCAAGACAGGTGGGTGGTTCAGTGACTACATCTGGAGTCCGAAAATTTTGTTTACGATATCAGGAGACAAATTCAATAAAAAACAAAGAAGGAAAAGGCCAAAAAAGGTGCACCACATCTATTGATGGCAGAAGAATATAAAAAGACTATGTCTCCAAGATAGAAAAATGTCATCAGCGGCCATCAGAAGTGATCTGAATGATGATGGTGTTTCTGTCAGTTCAAGAACAACCAGGAGAAGATTAACAGATGTTGGGTCTAACTGAGAGGTAGAATTCCACGGAAAAAGGCCTTATCTTAATTTTCAGCAACGAAAAAAAAAAAAAAAAAAAAGACTACAGTGGGCAAAAGAACACATTAATTGGACAGATGATCAGTGGTCACAAGTTATATTGAGTGATGTAACTAAGATATCTTTATTCGGTAGTGATGGGCGAAAATATGTAAGACGTAGAATAGGAGAAGAGCTACATCCTGACTGCATTCAAGCAACTGTGAAGAACCCAGTTAGTGTTATGATTTGGTCATGCATGTCAGCAGATGGTATTGGTCGCCTTCATGTCATCGATGGGACAATGAATGCCAGAAAACACATTGACACTATTCTAGAACCAAAACTTCTACCTTCCATCAGAGATATCTTTTCCAACAATGCTTCGTTTATTTTTCAGCAGGATTCTGCTCCTTGCCACATGGCCAAAATATCGAAAGAGTGGTTTCGTACAAAGAGCATTAAATTGTTGTCATGGCCAGGAAACAGTCCTGACCTCAATACTATCGAAAATTTGTGGCACCGTTTGAAAACTCTTGTCCGAATGAGGCGCCCATCAAATAAAAAGGAACTAATTGAGGCTATAATTGTTTCCTGGCATCATGTAATAACGAAAGAAGAGCTTAAAACTTTTGTCAGCTCAATGAAACGTTGATGTGAAGCTGTAATCAAAAATAAAGGTTACCCTACTAAGTACTGATAACTCACGGCAATCATCACTATCTAATGTATATTGATAACTATTATCGTTTAACTTTTTTTGTATTGCAAATAATGGAATTTTATGTTTTGTATTGAATTCAGTAATAAATTCTCTTTAAAGTGATATATACAAGTTTGAATTTTGTGAAACGTAACGTTTTCTATAAGCATACAAAATTCAAAAACATAAAAATTTCCAAAAGTGTCCGCAATTTTGGCCACCACTATACTGTGGCTGCAGTAAAGGACTAGCGTATCGTAATGAATGACTTTAGGCTTAGAATTTGGTAAGAATCCGAACTACAACGTCGTTCAATCTGTTTAGGATTGTGTTAGGACCATCCCATGGTAATTCTAGCTTAGGAAAGAGACCTTCAGTAGAATCGAATTCCACAACTACACCTTGTCACCTTCGTTAAGTCGATGTCTTGTAGCTCTTGTGTCGTATCGGGTCTTCACCTCCCACCTCCACGTTGACTCGCTCTCATGCAAAATTGTACATCATCTGAAACCGTGCCTGGAGGTCTTGAATGTACTCCTCAAGCGATGAAGGTGCATCCGGAGGATCTGTAATGGAGAGTAGCCGGTAGTCTCGTAGATAACGCTGCGATAGATAGGGCAGTAAGAGCAATGGAACTTCTTGCCCAGTAGTCCTTTTGGTTTCTGGAAAGCACAGCGAGAGTTTATTAAGAATGGTTCGAATAAACTTTTCTAACATGCCGTCTGACTGCGGATGTAAAGGTGTCATTTAAGTTTTGTTGATGCTGAGTAGTTTCCAGAGTTCTTTAATTACAGCCGAGGTAAAATTTCTTCATTGATTGGAATGTAACTGAAAAGGCACTCCGAACCTGAAAATCCTATGCTGTGTTATTCATTATACCTCTGCTACCATGACAGCCTGTTGATCAGGAATAGGGTTCGCTTCCGGCCATTTGGGGATGTAATCAATAACACCGAGGTTATTGCCATCAGAAGTTCGTGGCAGAGGTCCTAGGATGTCAAAGGCGATACGTTCAAATGGCACTGCTAAATTGTAACGTTGTAGCTTCCCTGGGCTGCATTTCTTCGGTCCTTTCCGGCTCGCAGAGGCATCGTAATATTTTCACCATTTTTGCAGGTCATCCTTTGCATTCCTCCAGTAGAAGCGTTCTCAAACTCTCTGTAGTCTTCATTGTTCCGAATTGGCCTCCTGTAGGACTTCTATGTAGTTCTCTGAGGACTCCGGGATCTTGGACGAGCAATGCTATCTGTTAACTTGAGTTAAATAAAAGGGTATTTTATAACCTTTCTCAGTCTGTGTGGTTCTTTACAAGACAGATTTACAAGACTCACTTTGGTCTTAAGAGTTCTCGTTCTTAAGAGAAGAGCACTGAAATCTCTAAGAAGAACTCTTGAATTGAAGGGTGGAGATCGGAAAAGCTACTTACAGTTTTACAAACTTGAAAATACAATTGAAAGACTGTTGACGAATGATGCGAAAGAAATACGGATAGAGCAGTTCTTGGTAAAATTTTAAAATTTCATCAGATGTGTATGTATTAAAATTTCTTTATAAAAAATAAATAAAAAATAAAATTTCTAAGTTTCGTGAATAGATTAATTTTAGCATCAATTTTTTAATTAA